CCAGCAGAGGCAGAATCACCCCTCAGCACATGGGCTGTGTCTAGGCACAATGCACATCACTCCCATGGCCCCTTTATGCACTGGTGTTATAAATAAAGAGTCACATCTAAATAAAAAGCACGAGCAGCTCCTTTTAATAAGTAAAACCCAGAGAAGGAGCAGGCAGTTCAAATCCATGTGGCAAGGCACCAGGAAAAAAAACAACAGTGGTGGCTTTCAGCCAGTAAATGATGCTCATGGCATCATCTGCAGTAAACTGGTGGCATCCTTGGTGTCACCCCCCGGCCTTAAGAACTGTGGCTCTCCTGCCTCCCTCCCCTCTTTCCTGCCTCAGTTTCTCTGCCTGTAAGAAGATAATTGCCTCCTTTATTAATCCCTTGGAGATCTCCTGATGAAGGCTCTGGGTAGGAGGTAGGACCAGCTTATTAAGCGCATTAAGTGCTTGTGGTGATTATAATAGGGATTAATTTGGCTAGGTGGCTTATTTAGGTTTGCCCTTAATAGCCCGACTTGTAATCAAAGTGCTGCAAAGCTGGCGAGCAAACGCTGACCTGTAACACCCCCTGACTTCTTGATAGGCCATTAACCATAACGTGGCTCTTAATTAAAGCTTGTTTTTGTAGTCAATGAAGAGGCAGGGATGTGCTCAGCCCCGTGTGGTGGGTTCATTGGAGGCTGTGACAAAGAGCTTGTGTCCCTGTTGCCTTCCTCAGCTCTCTCTGCTTCCCTATCTATGGCCCTGTCTTGAGAACATCACTGTTCCTTTTTGGTTTTGCAAGCTGTTGTAGTGTTAAATAAATACTCTGCAGTTCCCTCCGTGATGCAGCCTGGGAAGATCAGATTTTCTCCTTTGCTTTAGTCAAAGGTAGTTTTGTTTGAGATATATATATATAAAACTATCTCAATGTATCATTTGCAGTATAGTTTATATACAATATATTGCAGTACACCCTAGTGGAATATATATACACGCTTAAAAAAATGTGCATACATACTTATGTTTAACTTTTTTTTAATGTGCACTGTATTGCTTTTCCTCCTGCCAGCCCTGGAGACTCCCATAGGACTTCCCTGATTCAGGGTTTTTTTCT